AGGCCAACTGGGGCTACAGAGATCCTGTTTAAAAAATAAACAAAAACCAAAACAAAACCCCCAAACAAAACAACATCAATTGTTTTGTAGACATTAACTGCTTCCATCCTTCTGAACACCTCTGGCTCCATCTGACACCACAGAAACATCTTCTATTTTCGCTCTTTCTGTTTTCCAAGATGCTACACTATTCCTATTCTAGGTGTCTCTTCTTTATCTACTGGTTATAGTATGAGGGATCTTCTGACCTTTCAAATAGAGGCAGTGCAAAGAAATACAGTCCCTTCAAATCAGGTCCAATCCTAGTCTTTCTTCATAGGTGGACCTCTATTTCCATGATTCCTTCTTCAGATCTGTATCAGCTAAAATGTGTATTTTAGTAACTTCATAGCTCACTAAAACTCCTCCTAGTTCTATCCATCTGCTTTTATTTCATGAGTTGTTTTTATCTAATCCTTTAAAACATTACTCCCTTGAGCATATTATTCTCATGTTCAACCAACACAAGCTTCATAGCTGACAATATTCGGAGGAAAAAAGAATGTGAAGATATTGAAGAAAAATGTGCATCATGAACAACCACAAGTGATGTTAATAGGATCTATTTTGCATTTGTTTTGAATTTCAATAGAAATTTTAGTAGAACTGCTTTGAATTGCTACTTTATTGATAAGTGAAAACAGGTTCTTTTATGACTTAAGTTATAAAAGCTTATAGCTCATGGGTTCCCTCTCCACCCTGCAATTACCTGCAGGAAGAGATTGGCCACAGGTTCTAGTTTATGAATTTTATAGGGGCATATTCACCTCATTTTACATACTATGAACTCCTGGAAAATGCTACAGATTGGAGAAGATAAAATGTGCCCTTTGAATCAGACATTTAACTTAAATTCATACACTTATCCACAAATATATTGCTAATAATACATTAAACATGAAAAAGTCATATTTTACACATAAACATATATAATGCATTTTATAAAGTAGTAATAAATAACAATCCAGAAATAATGATTCAAAATGTTGCAGAATTAAGAGAGATATCATAAAATCTGAAGATACTCAATAAAATTTATTTTGTATAATTTAACTGGTAGATTTATGAATAAATTTAGTGTTAAAGGCAAGTAAACTCATGGACATCTCAAATATTTCAAGAATAACAAAGCAGTCTAAAACATAGTAAAGCTTATTACTGATAAATTATGTGACAAAAAGGTATCAATTAGCCCTTAGAAAATTAATGTTAAGCTAAGGAATGCATGAACAGCTTGTAAAATTGATCCAATAACAAAGATTAATAATGAGCCGACATTTTAAAGTCAGGCTAAGATATTTTAATCCTAATAATTAGGTCTCCTCAGACAAATGGTATTTCACAACTCCTATAATCTAATGAGACAGAATGTACTGTCTGAACCTTTTGTGAGAGAAGTATAAATATAAACCTCTGGGAAAATGTAAGCTGTAATTTTATAAATTACCAAAAATCTACTTGGTGAAAGAAAAATTGTTCTTAGTAACAAGATCACTGAATAAATAAAAAATAAAGGCATAATTATTGGTTAACTGTTATTGGTTTGAAAGGCAGAAACTTTGCAAAAGTTCAAGTCATTAATTCCAGTAGGCCATACTGATGTTATTTGAATTTCATCATTTTCTATTTCTATGGAGATTAAAACTTATACTCAAATCACTAAGAAGTCTTTGCATATTTCGCATGGCTCACTATGTTTTAATGTCTTCTGCAAGCATAACTCTGCCACACAATATAAAAAGGTATGGGATATGCTGTGCATATGATAATACATTAAAAGGCAGGTATGTTTTAACTCTGTTCCCGGGGAACATTTCCTTATGCTAGTTGGTATTTCTCTTTGATTTGCAAATAAGCCCTCCAATTAAAGTAAATAAAGGTCTCAAGCCTGTGCTGACTTAACTATTAACTTTTACACACCTGCCTTTCAGGGTTCAGATAATGACCTCTGAATAATCTGAGGCTGATAATTTATCCTTAATTTATCACAGGCTATCAGCAGGTGCAGAAACTAGTCCTTAAAATGGTGTAATCTAATTATTTTCATATAATCTATTATTGTCTGTCATATAATCTATAAGGTCTCATGCTTTGTTTTCTTTTCCTATAATAGCATAGTGTCCAAGTGAATACTATTCGGGAAAAGAAAAACCAACAAGAAGAAAGTTACGACTTCAACTATCAGATCTGAATGAGTATATTAGGTACAAAGAAAATAAAACCTGTAACATACAAATAGGCCTAGCAGGTCACTAATACAAAAGAGTAACAGGCTGATGTCCAATATCTCTCCTGCAACACTAATTGCCAGAAGGCAGAGATGATCAATTTCTACCACATTTTAAAGTGAAAAGGTTATAATCTCAAAGTAAAAACGTCTCATGCAAAGATAGCTGAAAGATATTTTTAATTATGTATACTTAGATAATTCATTCCTTACTTTATATTTCTTGAAAATAAAAATTTGGAACTATACTCTTACATATGAAAAAAATCAAGAACTCAGCATACAAAGTTTAGGATATAGCTCAGTGGTAAGAGCACTTGCCTGGCATGTGTGAGGCCATAGGTTCAATTTCTCCAAACAAAACAAAAAAACAGCTCAGCAAGCAAACAAAGAGTTTTGACTCTTTCTGATGGAGGGTCAAACACACAGGAATACTCTTCACTTTCTACTAAAGGTAGTTCAAAAACAGGGTGCTGTATGTGTTAGAAACAACAACAAAAAGTCCAATCCAAAATATCAAATTTCATGTAACAAATGAAAATAAGAAAGTAAGTAAGTGAACTTTAAAGAGTACTAGGGAACACAGCACAAGGGGACAGAGGTGGTTGTATTACCAGGCTAATCTGTATTTACTTACATGATATTGTATTATAGTGATTTAAGAAGCAAACTCTCCCCTGTAACCATATATTTACTGAAAAGTTCACACAGAATGCCATCTTGGACTATGAAGAAACATATTATTTCTGGGAGTAGAGGCTTAAGAAGTTCTCCATTACTCATCTCCCTCCCTTGCTAAATAGCTGCAACTAGCATTTAGACCTCTTCAAGGCAAGAGCTATCCACTGAAACACTAGGAAAAAGGGAACAGGAGTGATGGTGGGTAGAAATACTGGATAGTGGGGGGCTTAGGTACAAAGCTATAATGACATTCAGGTCCAGCATCAGCAACTCTCAAATCTTGTCAGCAAGTTGGAGGACTGTGGAGGTAGGTAGAAAATGCTTTAGTTTGTAGCAAGGGGACAGAAGAAGAGTAGCTGGTCCCAACTCTTACAGATACCAAATATGTAAAACCTTGTTGCTTGTCCAGAATTAGAAATAGCATGAATACATTAGGAGCTACCATTTCATAATCCAACCAAGATAACATAATCAGAAGACCAGCAATATCTACACAGTAGATGCATTTGCTCCAGCTCCTTTATAGAGTTGTTCTGGGGTTACTAGGTCATGACCATAAATGTTAATATCATTACTGCTCTTGGTTTCGTGTGGATTGGGCTCTAACACTTCATCAGTTAACTGGCACTGGGTGATCTATAATCAGCCTAGATGCTATACAGCATGAAAACTGTGCTGGGTTACACTCTTCTGAGTTCCAGAATCTATAAATGAAACAAAAATGTAAATGTAGGTGCCACAAAAAAGCCTGTAATATTAAAATAAATTTCAAAAATATGTAAAATAATCTAAGTACTGAGTATACTACTCAAATACATTAAAATAGCACCTTTCCCTAATCTATTTTTAGTAACACATAAAGCTTATACAATGTGGTGGCTACTCTTTTGTCTGACTTATCAGGGGTAACTGAAACAGTACTACAATGGAGCATTCTTTATGGCTCGTATCGCATACACACTAACCTTAAGCTATAAAACACATCAAGTTTATCAAATAGAAAGTGAAGTCAATTTTCTAGGAAAGCAATTATTAATACAAAGAAAATGGCTAAATGCAGTTCAACATTGTTTTTATTTTCCTTAGAAATTATGAGATATTTCTCACAATAGGGAATAGACTGAAAGACATATATGAATATACATATATGTCTTTCACATATATGTGAATAAACTGAAAGACATATATGTATATACATATATATATACATAAAGATAAGACTATTATGTTGAAGGAAAATTAAGAGATAGTCTAGAGTATTTCACCTTATGAAGCTTTCAATGAGAAACTAGTTACTTAAGTGTACTTCAAACAAGTGTGCTCAGAGACTGAGAAAAATCTAATTTTATATATGCTACTATAATAAATAAATAGTATAATTAAGTGCCTTTTGTTGTCTAGTAGTAATATGAGAGATAAAAGATTTCACTTCTATAATAATAAAACAAAATAACTTGCAAGAGAAATGATAAAGTATGGAATTCTTTTATAAAAATTCACTCTAAATAATGCCACTTTTCAAAATAATAAAGCATTTACTTATTTTTTTATTTTACGTGTATGAGTGCTATGCCCATATGTATGTAAGTGCACCCATATTGTGCTGTGCCCATGGCGGACAGGAGTGGGCATTAGAGCCCCTGAAAATGGAGTTATGGATGGTTGTTACCTGCCATTGGGTGCTAGGAACCAAACCTAGGTCCTTTTGCAAGAGTAGCCAGTGCTCTTAACCACTGAGTTATCTCTCCAGCCCCCAAATATTTTTTTTAAAAAAATAAAGGTTGTCTTGCGTATTTAAATTATTAAAAATATAAATTATTTCTAGCTAAAACATAAACGAATGGCTATTAAAAGGTAGTATCTCATTTTCCTGTATTTTGGCAAAAGTTAGAAAATTCTCTTTAGTTAGAAAACATGAAGTTAATTTTCTTGTAGGGTTACAACTTTGGGCAAAAAGAAGGTTAAAAGAATTTAACAGTGGCACTTTGTGTCACTAGCCAGCTTCCCTTTGTAGTTTCTCATCAGAATTCGGGGTGGGGGTTGACTGCCTTACCATAGGTGGCTCATCTACTTGATGGCAACAAGGCCTTCTTTCTATGCTGATAAACTCTGTGGAAAGAAAAGAATTGAATTTGTTATTATGGCTATCCATTTTATCTTGAAAACACTATGTCAGTAAAACATGCCTCATATTGTTTATAAGAAAATAAGATGTACTCTGATGGCAGGATTCTTCCAAATTGTCACAAATTCTTTGGTCAGAAACAGTTGGTGAGTTTAGCTAACTGAGACACCCTACTGAAGATTAAGCTAAGCCAATTTTCCCATTCCAGTGGCATCTAGCAATAGTTCAAGATGTGTGCACATCCTGCTCTCAGCATAAAACTTACAGCAGTATTTAGTCTCTGCTGCAATTCTTGCATGAAAGTTTTATTTCTGATGTGAGGTCATTAGTTTTATAATGGAACATCATAAAGCTGTGAAAGAAATCATGGCTTCCTTATTTTCTCAAAAGCATAAATTCATTTGAATTTCTCTCTGATGTGACTTCCTATGACATATTTTGTAAGCTAATCACCATGGATTTCAGAAAAAAAAGTTCTGATTTTCTCCCTTTACAATGTTAACAATAAGAGCTTATCTTGAGAAATATTCTTTATTATCTTTTTGTTCCCAATGTGCTTTATTGCATTTCATTGTATTAAGCAGACAAAACACACACCATGTCATCTGTAAGATACCAGTTCAAAGTCAAGTACAAGCTAAAAAAGAAGACAGAAGTGGGTCTCATTTACTTTCCAATATCTGTCCATCGGCAAGCTAACATGTGAGTTAAAATATTTGAACAGTTTACTAGAATTACTAGTTTAAATAACACTAATGGCTGTCACACTCAAGACTGGTTGGAGGTAAGAACTATAACGTACTTATTCTAATAGTAATTAGCAAAATTTCCAGTTAAAAAAAATGCTAGTTCCTCTCTTTTCTGAAGTATAAGGGATTAAATGAAATAAACACAAAATATTTTTAAAAACCTATATTTTAAAAATATATTTCAAATGAATGAAGCACCATGACACATTTGAACAGCTTTTTCAAAGCTGGATATGGTAATGCCTGCTTGCAGTTTTCACACTTAAGAGGCTGTGAGTTAGTCAGGGTTCTCTAAAGGTAAAGGATTAGGAATTTTATGCCAGATCTGGCCACACATAAGACTTTGTCACAAAATAAAAAACCCAAACAATACAAAAACAACCTCCTCCCAAATTTTCAGTATTGTTAGCCAGTGACACATGAAGGACCACATAGCCTTTGTCCAATCAAGTAATATTTTTTGAGTGGCTATCTGGTACTCACTGATAAAAGATAAATAGGTTATGATTCTTTTCACTGAAAGTTTGATAAAACAGAAGTGTCCTGTCTTGAAAAAATATAGAGAAAATGAACCAGTATTTTCCTTAAGTGTATTTCTTTAGGTAGTTGCAAGGAAAAGACATTCTTTCACAGGTTAATCTCACCTTTGAGTTAAAAAAACCTAGGTGGGCATTTTGGAAAAGAAAATGGATCTATACCTCACAATCCATACCAGTATAGTACATTCTAAATACACCAGAAAATTAAATACTAAAAATGAAGTTATCCCAATCTTAGACAAAAGCATGGAAAAAATTCTTCTGCAAACCCAAGTATTGGGAATTCTTTTCTAAACAAGGCTTATACATTTCAAAGCCAAAAGTCAAATGACAAAGGGAGAAAAATATATGTAATTTTTATTATTAGGAGATACAAACAGGAAGTAATTTAAATTTGAAATTTTTAAACCTTTATTTTTTAGATTGTTTACTGAGTGAAAGGGCATGAAGTAATGACTCGTCAGTGTCACTGAGAGCACTGAGTCCTAGATCTTAGCTTCTCAATTCTACCCATTTATAGCATCAAAGCTAGTTAAAGAAATGATTGGTTAAATCAGTGACACAAAGGAAGAAAGGAGAATGGAGTACAAAGGGTTAAATGGGGTGGGGCATGGGAGGGAAGGGCAGAGAAGGGAGTATGGGGAGGGATAATAGTAAAGGCCTTTAGAAAAAAGTCATATGGAAAGCTACCATTATAGAAGTTTCTTAAAGCACCATACATATGCAATATAAAAAGAGATGAAAAGTAGTTTCCCTATAACTGGGGGACCTTACCCCTACTGGACACCATAGGCTATCAAAGAAAGAGCCCAAATGCTAGGAACGAATTCCCTCTTTTGAAGCTGTTGACTAGGGGTCCCATAGTAAGACCATACTGGTGAGGATACTACATTCATAAGCTGTAGAAAAAATAAGGAGAAATCAAGCTGGTACTGACTTTAAAGCCTCATCTTTACTGGCTAGTTCATAGTGCTGGGTGGTACTATCAATGCTCCAAAAACGAGAAAAATAATCATCAACCTTGCCCAGCTGTGAGTCTTGTGAGCTACAACAAATGGCCTGGCAAGATATGCCCACACATGCAATAGTGGCATGAATGTTATGGGAGCAACCAACCACTTCCTGTTTGGATTTAAGGTCCGTTTCACAAGATGGAGCCTATACCTAACACTGACTGCTATCAGGCTTAGGAACTTGTGGGCAGACAGGCCATAGGCCTTAGGGAAGAACCTCAGACCATTATTCTGCTAAATAGATATGGTATTCAAATGATTCCTAATGACTTACTGTTATACTAATAGATTACTGTCTCTTTCAACTCTCACTAGGGGAATTTCCTTATGCAGTAGATGGTGATTAACACATACACCCACAAGTGGCCAATGTGCAGAGAGTAAGAGACTGCAGTGTTTATCCCCGAATAGGACACCTATATCAAACTTCTGCCTCCCAAGGCTCAGGAATCATTATGGAAGAGAAGAAGGAAAGATTGTAAGAGGCAGAGGTGGTGGATGATCACAAGGCAGAGCTTTCTAGGTTGATCAGGCTCCAGTGGATGGATCCACACTAAAGGGCATTTGGGGACACAGGTTTGGCTATATAGACATGCATGTGTGTGTGTGTGCGTGTCTGTGTATGTGTGTGGTGTGTATACATATATACGTATGGGAGGTGCAGAATGGGAAGCAGGTCTAAATATGCTCAAAACATATTGTATGAAATTCCTGAAAATTCAATAAAAAATGAAAAAAAAAAAGAACAGGCATAACAAGGGCTCTCCTTTGCCAAATTATGGGACAATTTAAACAATAAAAGAAAACGACAGCAAAGAAGAAGACAAAGAAAAATTATAATATTCAAAGGGAGAGGGATACAGAAAATTAAAAACAGAAATCACTGTATTTCACTAAAAAGCATAAGCAATAAAGTAGAAGGGATGACAGTACTGGAAAAGCATCGTTTTGTGTCCCCTCCATACTAGACAGTTTGGGAAAGGATCACCAATGGATGCTGAAACACTAAGCAGAGTTGCTGGGAACAGGATATTCAAATGGTCCATAGAATAAACAGTCATTGAAATGGGGAAATTTTATTTTTGTAACAGATCTGGTTTCTAATTTCTTAATCGAAGACTAAACTTAGCAACAGCCATAATGGGACACTCTAACACTACATGGTACTTGATATCATATAAATATGTGATTTATTATTATTGCCATGAGTTGTGCCTGAATGGAATCACAAAAAATGAATTAAAAACAGTGACATTTTATAAGATAACTAGTCCAGTCAGATGCTTTAAGACATCAATATCATGAAAGATTGTAGGTTAACTGAAATTGAAAGAAACTAAAATAGTGTACCAGTCAATGGAAGTATGAATCTTGATTGGATGCTAGCTAACGTTAGTACACAAAGATTGCTTGAGACATTTTTAACATAATTAGAGAAATCTGAACATGAACTATTTATGAGATGTTATATAACCATCATTAATTTTCAGGAATAATAATGGTACTATGTTTTTACAGAAAAAAACCCTTATTTTTATCAGATGTATGATGAAGTTTTCAGAAAGAAGAGAGCAATAACAGTTTAGACACTTATTTTACTTTTTTTTTTTTTTTTAGCTGGTTTGTGGTTAAAAATTTTCAGGATCAAACTGGGAAAAAATTATTAATCCTAAATAGAAATTTGCTGATCTTAAGTAGGCAAGCAAATCTTTAATAGTTTTGAAACCTGCAAAATCTCCCACATAAGAAGAATAAGTAGCTTTTTTGAGGAAATTTCTCATCATTAAAAAAAACAACAAAATACTTTTCAATACTAAATTTATCAATCACACGTCTAAGAATAAGAGAAAGGTCAAACATACATAAACTAATGTTTATATTTACATGTTGATTGATTCATTCAACAGTTATATTTATTGAAAAGCAATACCTTTTCCAAAATTAAATAAATGAATCATTTATAATTCTCTCAATATTTTTTGTTCTTTTATAATTAGTACAAACTATATTTGGAAGACAATTTATTAGTATTTCAATGAATTAATTAAAAACCTGATTCTGGGGACACCCTGCACGCACTGGAAGATTGACTGGAATTTTTAAAAAAATATTTATTATTTTTATTTTATGTGTATGAGTGTATTGCCTGCATGTATGTGAGTGCACCCATGTTGTGTAATGCCACTGAGGTCGGGAGAGGGCTCCAGATTCCCCTGGAACTGGAGTTAAGGACGGTTCGTAGCCGCCATGTGGGTGCTGGGAATCGAACCCAGGTCCTCTGCAAGAGCAGTGAGTGCTCTTAACTGCTGAGCCATCTCTCCAGCCCCAGACTGACTAGAATGTATTAGATAAGCAAACTTTGGTTAAGTATTTGTCTACTCACAGATTCTGGGAAGATTTCTTGGTCCATGCAAGGCTTTAATGATGTTTGTTCTTAAATTAAAAAAAAAATTATATTTTTTTATGTGTATGAATGCATTGTCTGCATGTATATAAGCGCATCCATGTAGTGCAATGCCTGTGCAGGTCAGAAGAAGGCGTCCGACTCCCTGGAACTGGAGTTATGGGTGGATGTTAGCTAACATGTGGATGCTGGGAATCGAACCCAGGTCTTCTGCAAGAGCAGCTAGTGCTCTTAAACACTGAGTCACCTCTCCAGCACCCATTGTTCTTAAATAGTAAT